TGTATATACTGTTGTGTCGTGTAGACAATTTTGGTTATTAACTACAAAATAAATTTCAATTTTATTGAGAATAATTATGGAAATGCAAGAACATTATGAGTACTTCATTAGGTGTAACAAGCAACAGCATACAATRTAATTTAGTCGATTCTAAAGACAAATTAAGGAACACTATCATAATCAACAGTAAGTGTAAAATTTGTTTTAAAATGTATTTTGCCTCTTAGGCATAGATTGTATATTTCAAGTAAAAAAAAAAAAAAAAATTGAAATTGATCTAAGCCATAAGATTAAATAATATGTTTTTATTCATCATTCGAGCGTTGAAAACATTTTCTCAAGAGTCGCTTTCGATACGGATAATATGTACATAATTTTTAATGATTTATTAATTTTTGAAAATGTGTTGAATCATACAATAAAAATTCTTCAATTCTAATTTTTGGAATAGCATAAAATGTATACTTAATATATTAAATTAAATACCATTAAAATATATAGTTCATAGTGTTCAATTTTCATTGTTCATACAATTATTAAAATATTGTTTTAAATAAAAAGATAAAAATCCCTATGGAGGGGGAATATAACTTCCCCTCGTATATAAGGATATGAAAATACAATACAATTTTGCAATGCACGTACATTTTTATGATATTATCAGTCGCATAATATTTTTAACTCATCGTTTTCCACTGGTCATTGTAACCATTCAGCCGACAGCTACAGAATTTTGCGGTCGTAGACCGTTTMATTTTTAAACCATTCAATGCTACAAAAGCGAAAATAATGTTACGTAGGAACGGCAATTATTTTCAATATTATTTCGAAATCGTCTGAAAAAATAATTTTATGATGTTATGAGAGCAACAAATCCACACGTGCCATTGTTAGTACAGACTGACGCGTACGGTAATATGTTAATAGCGTTTTTTTTTATTTATTTTTTTTTTTGTTCTTATATATATTATTACAGAGCAATTTATTAAATTGTGTATTTACTTGTACTTGTAACCTGGAGCTAAACTTACTAAACGAAAAATTAAAACGAAGAATGGTAGGGTACGTAATGAATAATGATAGTCCTATACATTTTTAGTGCTTTAGGTCCGCAATTTAACGTAGGTACTTACTTCTTAAATTACATCCAGAATATTGATTAGCTTTTACACGAATGGTAGTTATTTTCTTTGAAATATAATTACCTTAAGTCTCAAGAAGATGGATCTGGGAAGTCAAATTAAAATTGACAGCTAAATGAAACATTACATTTTTAAAACTTAAATTTCCCATGCATTCAGACTATTTAGAGTACACTTTGAATTTGTCTGAAAAGTTTGAGCTAAGAACTTTAATTGAAAATTAAAGAGGTTGAAAAAACGTTCTTTATGTTTGAATTAGCATAGGTTATATTTATTTAGCTTTTTCCATAATAGATGAATTACAATTAAATAATATTAAATGCTTATAAATACTCGCAGGTATAAGAATATTKAAGTATATATGTTAAAAGTATCTATGCCATAAAATATGCTACTTATACTGGAAAAATGTATAAGGTATAGATTGAATAATAATTAAAAAAACAGTACCTAACACAAGATTCGATATTATAAAATCGACAGTGTATATTTAAATAAATACGCTTGATTATATATTTCATCAACTCTAGGACCTACTTATAACATAATATTACATAGGTAATCAAATGTGAGTAGTTATTAATTAGTTAAAAATGAATTATTTTTTATGTTGTATCTATCTCTAATTTACCTACACTAGTTTGACTAGATTAATACTAAGTATTCATTCAGTTCATTGTAATAGAATAACATTTTTTAGTGAATTAAAGATAATAAAAGTTAAAATCAATTATATACCTATAAATCTATAACTGTAGATAAAATTAAAAAATATTTGAATGATTTTTCAATTAGTTAAGCTGTAAAAAATSATTTTTAAATAAATTATAATAAATTTAATATTTATTGATACAATAATTTGTAAACCTAAAAAACATTTGTAACMAAATGATTATTTACCAAAAAAATTCAAAATTGTTCAATGACCTATGACGCGCAACCTTGGTGGAAATTAAAAGAAAAAACCGTTTTTTGTACTGAGTAAGGTTATATTTTCTCCATATTAATTTTTAATTTATTTTCAGAACTACCTTTATATAATTTTATAACTATAATTTGTGGTCCTAAACGTTGATTTGATTTAACTAATTCAAGTTATTTTTTCAATAACTTGTCCACTAAAGTATCGTTATACCAACGGTCTATGTAAAAAAGAGAGAAAATACATTTTAAATGTTAATTGGCTTTCGGTGCTAATTAAAATAGAACGAAAACAATAATATTGTAAAGATTGGTCATAAAAGCCAACACAATAATAATAAAACCCTTCGTCTCGTTCAGACTCGCCAACAAATATGTTTACGTTAGTATTGTCATATCAATTATTACGCTGCACGTAAATAATGATATGAGTAAGAGCGTCCTTCAGTCTGATATCGGATAAGTACGTAGCATTGTATATTGACAATATGTCAATTGATTACCTTAGTCGAACAAGCAGTCGGGCAGAAGTTTGGTTCAAGTACCTATGATAGTAAATTATTATAATTAATGTTCACACAATGGAATAATAATTATAATATTAATTAATTTCTGATATAATATTATCACCATAATGCAACTGACGGACGTCTCGATATATATATTTATAATGGAAGTATGGGATCATTTTGATGAGAGATTGTTTGAATTACCTAGCCATATAGATATTATTAATATAACGTTTACTATAAATCTAACTATATAATTATTGGTGTAATAATGACAAATTTAAATTCTTCACCACCCTTATTACACACGGAAACTGTTGGGCTTATCACATTTAACTTAGTCTATCTTCTGCCAATAGGTTTAATATATCTCTGTACCAAATTTCATCGCAATCGGTCCAGCCGTTAGGAATACATAATAAAGGACAGACAAACCGAAAGAAATCCATCCATATAATATATAAATATATAGATTGGAGGAGTTCAATATCGGCAACAATTTGTACGGGTGCGATAGTGTTTGTGTGTTGAATAATTATTAATAATCAACAGTGCATGTGACTGCGATTCATCTGTTTACTCACAAACGGGATACTATAATTTTAGCTAAAAGAAACTAAAAAAATAGTCGTTCGTGGCATTGGATTTTTAATAATTTACTATTTTTTTTTTTTTTAAATTCCTAACGCCTAACAGTAATTTAAATAACATATTGAATTATGCATATATCATAGYATGYTAGTATCATTGATAAAAATGAAGSTAAAAAAAGAAAGAGAAAAACTAACATTTGTTATAGTGACAAYGAAGCATTCTATATGGACTGGATAGTTATGACTYGTGACCATTGAAGGCGGGATAAGATAGAACAAGGAAAAGTGTTTGTATTTTGGAGATTTAATATTATGATACACGGTCGTTAATGCTGGTTAGAAGACCAGATGCATATTTTCGGAGTCATCAAGAAGAGATTAAATAATTCGGTTATCCGCTAACCGCTTCATGATGACATGARGGAAGTGGCGGAATATTTAACGAGCATTGTATGGGAAAGTAATCATTTGCTTGACTTCTACATGATATCAATATTTTCCTAGTCTAGGCATAAACTAGTTAAAAAGTTAATGTTAAGTTAAAAGTTAAGTTAGGTTAGGTTAGGTTAGGTTAGATATTTATTATTAGCTATCTATTGCCTATTATCTGTGTTCAATAATATTTATGATTTTTACTGTTTTAAAACATATTAATGGATATATATACAGATATTTAAAAAAAATGATATTAGTAACTTAACTTAAGTTGATAAGTTAATTGAAAATGTTCATGTAACTTTTAACTTAACTGAGTTTAAAAAAGAAAATTATGTTAATTGTTAGCTTCAAACTTTTTAAAATATTTTCCATCAACTTAACTCAGTTAAAAATTATCATTAACTTGACCAGGCTTGATATTTTCACGTTTTTATTTCATCGGATTCTCACTTGAAATGCAGTATTTGGAAAAAAAAAAACAGGAAAAAATTTCTGACTATATAGGAAAATAAAACAATGGAAAAAATATTTTTAATTAGTTTATTATATTGTATTAGTCATTTTTTTTAATGTCATGTTWTACCAGATGTAATTTTTTTCTGAATAGTAAATTAATAAAATAGGTGCATAATAAAGGTAAAATCCATATAACTATACGATTTTTAGTTCAGATAGCCAGTTAAGKACTGTATTTTAAATATACTTAAAAATGTTTATTTTCCTATTTTATATTTTTATTCCTYTTTCATATGATGGGGTTCAAAAATGTTTATAATATTCTATACAATATTTTGTATAATTTATGAAAAGTAATATTTAGAGTACTTACCTAACCTATTGTTATTAAATAGTATGATATAAAAATACATAAATAAATAATTATATTTAACTTATTTAACACCACAATACATAATGATAAACTTGGTGTTATTACCTTCATAACTATTTATTAATAAATAATATCAATAATTTTGATAATATTCATAGAATAAAAAGAAATTTGGAATATTTAGAGYATAATCATTGAATGTTTAGTGTTTGTTGGTAAGGAGTTATTTTTTCTTATATTCCAGGCTTTTTTCTTAGATTTCTTAAAATAATTCATCATAAATTGATTGCGTTGGTAATTAATACTAGAAGTCCCAATCACCGCATTAGATCGAAATCAATAAGGTTGTACATATATATTATACCTTTTGGTGGAATGACAATATTCGGCCAATGCCCAATTTACTCTAAAAATTCATTTAGTTTGGTATATAGGAAGTAATATTGCATAATATAATACACGTTTTATATCGTTTAAAATAAAAAATATATTTGCATATTTTTGACTCGCCAATCGCACATTAATATAATATAGTGTAATAAATAATAATAATCATAATAGTGTTTCAATAAATTATATAATCAATAAATACAATAATAAATAATAATAAATAATATATAATAATAATAATGATATTATGATGTCGATTACATAACGAGTCGCGATAATGTGAGATCCAAATAAAAGTTTATTGTGATGTGTGACGTACTGCATGTATGGAGGCTGAGTGACGTCAGCACAATGGTAATACTGCACCTGCAGCTGCTAGAGATGAATTATTCTGACGGKACGTAAACGTTTGAACACGGACAGGCGTCCAACGTGTGGTTAGCCACCCAGTTCAGGTATCTGTTCACTCGAGAGTACACTCCTGGTCGGTTGGCCTGAGCGCATCCTTCTCCCCAAGATACCACACCTGGAAGAACAAACGAAAATAAAAATAAAGAGTTAAATCGGAAGACGTTACAGCCGAATTTA